TTAACGATACCATTCCTTCGTCAACCAGCCACTTCGCAGTATTCAAGATATGTTCATCTCGAATTTTGCTTAAGCTCTCAAGCTGTCTAGCTAATTGAATTTGCTGCAGAAAAGGATGGGAAATATCTCCCTTCAATTTCTCAGTCATAGATACTATGTTTTGTATCATTTCTTGTTGCGGAATTCCTTCCACGCATGTTAAAACGCTTTGCGCGTGCAAGATATTCAAATTGTCTTTGTAAGACCTGAACTCCAAGCTAGACACGTATCGCTCGAGATCTTCTTGAGTTTCACCACGGACAATTCTAGCTACTCCTTGTTTTAGTGAACCATCTGCCCTTTTTCTTCTTTTTGGCTGGCTTGGCGTCTCGCTTACACTTTCCTCCTACAAGTAAGATACAATATTTGAATAACCATCAGGGCTTTTGGGCGAATTGCAATTAAGATAGATTCTATATCAACGCTACGAGTTTCTGGTCAACCTCTTGCCGGCATAAAGAACTAACGCGCCAAGCGCGCAGCGTCAACAAACTAATCAGGGCGAGGTCTCAGGAAGTAAATAATTCCTGCATACATGGTGAAAATTTAGATTGAGTGTAGAAGGCGTGAACGTCTGAGGAAAGCTCCCTATTCCCTTCCAAACCACGGACCACTTGCAAAACAATATTACGTCTAGCATCAACACCGGCTTGTGCGTCATTGTGCACAGCGCAACTTGAACCTTTCTCAGTGCCCGCCGTGTCCGTGTCCGTGCATTGTTCTATTTAACAATTAGATTATGAGCTCAAGATTTCTATAAGGTGATAGTTGATGAGGCCGAGGGCCGAATCACTATCACTTCATGGAAATCGAGAGCGCATAATCTAATTGTTTTAGTAGAATTCTTACTAAAATTTACTTCAAATAACAGTTTCCAATTATTTCTTGACGCATTATTAAACTTTGCGCCTGAAAAAGGTCGCTCGGATTTAAGTGCCGTTTAAAATCGAAGTTGTGCGCGCGCATCAGCTTTTTCAATAATTTCAACTTTTTTAAAAGTCAAGAAACCCTAAATGTCCCTCGTTAGGCTTGTCCGAAATTCAATTATCCATTTGCATCAAAATTTTCCTCCAAAACTTGGGAAAAACGAAAAAAAGTCGCCGTTTCCAAGATGATCTCCAGCCACTGCACACTAATGGCTGATAGTGTTCAATGGTTCAGTCAATCCGATTACAGCATTTGCATTAGTATACCAGTAGAACTCTACTGATCAAGAACATAGGGTCAAAAGCACTGTTAAACGTTTTTTTAGCAATGCAGAACTTTCTTATATGGAGGTTTCACGGTGTAGCTTTCTATCTCAGTAACGATCTAGTGGCCCGAGAACCTCTCCTCTTTAAGTCTTAGTTTTTATTTGCTTACCTCGTCCTCTTCATCTTCTTGTTCTGCTGGGTTTTCTCCTACTTTTGTAGCCGCAGGTGATTGTTCGGAGATAACTTCCTCTTCAGAAACTCCTGAATGCGGAAATTGGTCTTCCTGGGTTTCTTGAGGAGTCGCCATCTGGATTTCGTCTTCCTGGGATTCTTGAGGAGTCGCCATATGGATTTCGAGTGATTGTTCGCAGATAACTTCCTCGTCAGAAACTCCTGAGTGCGAAAATTGGTCTTCCTGGGTTTCGTGAGGACGCGCCATCTGGGTTTCGAGCTTGCTACTGCTGGATGTAGCCTGCAACTCGTTTTCTGCCGTTGCTTCTCCCGTAGCTACAGAAGACTGTTGCGAGAATAACTTCACTCCAGAAACCTCTGTACTTTGGCTGTCTTGGCTTTCCCCGGTGCTGCTGGGTGCGAAAATGTCATTGGGCGCCATCCATGTTATCGCTGGCTGTACAGCGGCAGCATTCTTAAGGACAGGTAGAAGGAAAGTGCTTTCCAATTTGCCCTTCACCTGCTTTAAAACCCTACGTGTGCTTTCGTCACCAACATTACGTACTGCCATTAAGACCTCGCTTTCTACTTCGTAAAAACCAATGATCTCAAACCCATGTGCCAGATACAGGCGTAGAGCAGGTACATTGGAGAATCCTCCTGCTAGAACAAGCCAGATGTAGGTACTAGCTCCGTGGGGATCATTCTTCGTTCTATTTCTAACCTCTTCTATGGCACAGGAAAGAAGAATGTCTCCTAAACACAAGGAACGCTTGTCAGCT